AGTTTAACATAAAGCAAGAAGTTTACGTTAAATCTTCTTACAATATTAATGCATTAAAGATTATTGCCTCTATCAAAAAAAATGATAATGACATAAAAAAGAAACACCACTAACCCTACAAACCTAATAAGTGAAGGGAACGAAAGTAGCAATCTACGCCAGATGTCGCGGCGTGCTTCGAATGGTTTAAGACTGTGGAAATCAAATCGACAGCTGACCTCTTTTCACGATGAATAGTAATGACCCTACTTGGATATCGCACGACTCACATATCATGAGTACATAGGCTTAGTAGGCTATACGTGTTGGTGAATTGATCAATGTATTTAGCATCTGTATAATCGATTATAAAATATTGGCTATTAGAAAACCGCAATTTTTAATTAAAAAGTATATTAATTTTTAATCTATACATATAATAAAATTGTTACTAAACCGAATCTGTACATTAAATATTTTTCGGAAAATCTTATTGAAATAAACATTATTATCGATACAGAGACCGTATCTATAGTTTTTAGATTTTTTCTCTGTCTGTCTGTCTGTCTGTCTGTTACCGCATTACAGAAAAACCACTGGAGGGATTTTGATGAAATTTGGTATGGTGATAGCTGGTCATCCGGGTCAACATATAGGATACTTTTTACCGCGCGGAAATATCTTATTTCTGATAAAAAATAAAAAACTGCAATGTAAGAGTATACTAATATGTAAAGCCTAAGAATTTGGTGTTTGGTCATTTGAACGCGAGCAAAGCCGCGGGCAATGCTAGTAATTTATAACATAGTATGTAGTACTTATTTTTCTCGTGGTTCTGCTTGACTTCAACATAGGTAAGTTGTTATAAAGTGTCAAAAATGTATATGTTCCAGCATACAATTAATAACCAGTATATAAGCTTAAAGCTATCTCCATCCTAAACACTCAAATCCATTAAATATGGCGATTTAAAAAAAAAGAATAAACAAAAAAACCGACTGCGTAAAAAGAAAACTAGTTGACAAGTTGAAAAGATGAAAACTAAGTAGATGACTAAGAAACTTAGTATTATGAAATCGGCGATCTAGATACATCTCGCAGCAAGTATAAAAAATGTATGTATGTATTATTTTATAGACATACAAATTGAGGCACGAAATCTGCCATTTTAATTTTTAATTATTACTAAGTATATACTCGCTAAATCAAGATATAACGATGTATGAATCATCAAAATTGGGTTAAACCTATTAGTAATTACCAGAGAACCATCGGACATACATACATACATACATACATACATACATACAAGTCAAACATATAACTTCATTTGAGCTTCGCCACAGTCGGGTAAAACACACTCACAACCTATAAATTTTATAATATTAATGTGTTAATCAAAGGCTGTGTAAATAGCGGAAATGAAGATTATAAACATTTATTTATTTTTTCTTGTTAATCACTTTTTATTTGAATTCCATTTAATATTAATTAATATATTGCATAGAAACCAATTTAACGAAACCGACCTGAGGTCAACAACCATATTAATTAACTTTATAATATGACATTCGCAAAAATATTTATTTTCAATACTAAATGTATAATGTTACATGAATAAAAACAGCTGAACTCAAAAAGACGTGCCTATATAAAGAAATGGAAACCTAGATACTCGACGGATGCATAAGAATGCAATACAGTGTTAACCTTCCACGAGATAAATGTCTATAGTCGACATTATTGCAATACAAAGATATGAGAAACGTAATATTCGAATATGCCACATTTATGCTCCCGCATTGAAAAACCTGTACAGTTTTTATTATATTTATCTATACTAATATTATAAAGAGGTAAAGTTTGTGAGTTTGTGAGGTTGTAGGAGGTAATCTCTGGATCTACCGATTTAGGTGAAATTTGGTAAGAAGGGTTTGAGACCCTGGGAAGGACATAGGATACTTTTTATCCCGGAAATCATCCCTTAAGGGGGTGAAAATGGGGATGAAATTTGTATGGGGAATCAAGCTAGGGACGAACTCGAGCAAAGCAAGGGTGAGTATTATAGTTATAATTATAGTTATGTATATAGTAGGTGGGTAAGTCGTGTTTCCGATTTCCGTGAGGGGTAAAATATGAGGCAATGCTACCGTTACGAAACTACCTTATGCACATAACCTAGTCTCCTAGGTAACTACTCAGGAGAAAAAATTATAGGCATGTATACGCTTTATTTATCTGATTTTAATGAATACTAATAATAATTTTGTGACAAATGGTTTGCTATAATTATTTCTAATATACATACGATAAACTTGACATTCTTAGGATTACGTACTACTACCTACAGCTAAATGTACGAGTCATCAAAACCAAAACTTTCAAGAGAAGTACGTTTTCATTGTTGAACTGTGACATTCTCATTTAATATTCGTAGGATAATGAAGCTGCAAAAATGAAGAATATTGTTAAAGAAAGCTTTGAAAATTTTGTCACAATTTTAATTTCTTGAAATTTTATGATAACAATGTACACATTTTTCTTAGTTTTTGCAAAAAACTTTGTTATACTTTCTGCATTGATTGATTTATTTATTTACCTTAAAAGTTGCGTTGATATAATATTATAATATGAGCTAAGTTCCTGGAAAATTAAATAAATGTAATTTTTTAATATTAATACAAAATACGGTTTACTTCCGGCGAATAGAAATAACACGATGAATTTATGCAGTTTCTGATAACCCAGTCAGTAGACTGGGTTATCTTATGAGAAAAGTATTTCCCATACAAAATCTCACAATACGTCTAGACTTTTCATTAGGCCGAGCTTTCGTTCACAATATTTTGTTGTCTTTTTACTGTATCTTGCGGTCTACTCAGATATAAAAAGTATGCTAAAAATGCCTTTTGTAGTACATTTATCCTTGTATAATGTACTCATTATTATTCTTGTACTCTTGTACGTACAAATTCTTACAACCTATTTAAAGAATATATATTTTTATTTCCTTAACATAAACCTTCTAAAAATTCTTCGAATTATTTCTACAACAATCGGAGCTTAAACCTATTACAGCTAATCTCTCGAATATTGGACGTAAGTATCGGTTCGTTTAACCTTCATTGTCTACGATCCTATTAAAAGTTTAGTACCGCTATCAATACTCTTTTAACTGTTGTAATTAGTGAACAGTATTGACTATTTTATTGTTCTAAACAACAAATGTACACTAAAGTATTTTGTAGAAAAGTTTTATTCCCTTGCGGCTCCTTTCACATTTAACTTTCACCTGTTATTTGTATTCAAAACACTTTACCTCTGAGGTACGGATATACCAACGTATTGTTTATTGATAAAATATAAGTCCTTGTATAGATATGTCATGTCGTAGTGAACACATAATTAATTTGAAAAGGATTTATGTGTATTTTATAAATATAAATCTATTTTTGTTAAGCAAATCTATAAATATAATAAAATTGTAACTAAGACGAATATGTACATTAAATATTTTGTTGGAAAATCTTATTGAAATAAACATTATTATCGATACAGAGGCCGAATCTATAGTTTTTGGAACTTCTGTCTGTTACCGCATCACAGAAAAACCACTGGAGGGATTTTGATGAAATTTGTTATGGTGATAGTTGGTTATCGGGGTCAACATATAGGATACTTTTTACCGCGTAAAAATATCCTATATCTGAGAAAAAATACAAAAACTGCATTGTAAGAATATATTAATATGTAAAACCTAAGAATTTGGTTTTTGGTCATCTGAACACGGGTGGAGCCGCGGGCAATGCTAGTGGAATATAAAAATGGTAGAAAGAGTGCGTTCAAATGACACAACAGGTGTCAAATAAATAATGCAAAAAGAAGTTCCTTTTTAAGATAATTACGAGGCAAGCCGGCAAGTTTCTAGATGCAAGAAAAGCTTAAGTTGTTTACCAAGCATAAATCGCATTTATATTATTGCAAATAGAGTCAAAAACAGCTTGTGTATAATAAAAATCAATATTCCGGTAGACAAACTGTTATTTTCGAACTGACACTACCCTGTAAAATTCTAACGCTTTCAATGAAATATAGCTCTACAAAAAAGTCTGTATTGTATCCTATAGGCTTTGTCTGGGTTACAATATCAGTTGAATCTTTTAAAACAATATTTAAACGTAGAAAAATATTTTTTATCAGATTCACCGCTAGAACCTAAAAACAATTATAAGTTTTTATCTATTTGCATGCTTATTAGAGCGTTAAGTAAAAAATTGAAAAGGTTTAATGAGACTTTCACCTTAAATCATGCAGTTTTTTTTAATATTAGAATACAGGTACAAATCAAAATCTAACACTAAATATTTGCCATTATAATATTCTCTAAAGGCAAAAATATATGTAGGTCAGAGTGAGACTACATAAAATTGAAATACACAGGATATTTAATTTTATTCATAAAAAATTACTGGACAGAGATATTTGTTAAATTACTTTGCATATCTTAAGGATGCTCAAGATAATGATGTTCTACAGAGATCGTTATAAGTCTGCGTTCTAAATTATAAGAACGACAATAAATACGCCTCAAGAAATATAGCCTGAACAATATGAATAGATAGACTTTGTTACAACCACTTGATATTCTAGACTACCTATGATATACTAGAACTCATAATATATTGCTAGGCTAAAAATATCGTTGTTGTTGCTTGTAAAAAATGGACAAACAAACAATTTATACATATTTTAGGGGAAACTAGCAGAAATTTTTTTTTACTAAAAATATATACTCTAATTATAAGAAAAAAACCTTTAATAAAGTTAAGTGAAATAATAGGTTGATATGATACATTAAATATCCATTATTTTCCAATTTTCCTATCGATTGATATATTAGTAATTAAGGTAATATGTTTGTACGACGTATTCCTGTAACAGTCAGAATTAGGGCCATCCAATTTCTTTGCATGAGACGTAGTATTTACGAAGTATAACGTAGCATTTATGTGTGACACTCAAAAACCACTTACCACTCCCATAAATGCACCAAACAGTCGAACATGACGCAGCCATGCCCCGCACTTATGCAGGAGGCTGGCGCTGCCATGTTGTACTCTTCTCTGTCCAAATTCACTGCTAGATTCATTCGTAAGACTTTCGTCTACGTAACGACAATATCTGTAACAAAATATAATAAAAAAATATTATGTAGAAATATAGAATAATACTCGTATTCTCGTATTTGCTTGAATAATATTTAAGGAAATTATTATTGATTGAGTTCAGGTTGATGTGTTATAAAAACGTTCTTATATTCATGATATATATATATATATATATATATATATAATATATACAGAATACATATATAATAATATCTTTATCAAAAATTCTTTACAATCATTATCTCAAAGAGCCAAAGAAAAAAGTAAACAATCTATAATATTACCTATATATAAATAAAAATGAATGTTGGTAAGCGCATAACTCAAGCATGGCTGGGCCAATTCGGGTAAATTTTTTTTCGTATGTTCCTTAAGGTGCACGAAAGGATTTAATAAAGAGAAAAAATGAAAAAATAACGAAAAAAAATTAAAATTTATATGTCTAACGCTAGCTAATAACTATTTATATCTAGTTATAACGTAATATAATAAGAGTTGCAACTCACTGCAGTGAAATTTATTAAATAACTAGCGGCTCACACTCGCTTCGCTCGGGTTCGCCTCTAGAAAAACACTAATAGAGATCTATTAGTTCCCACGGGAAACGTTTATTTTTCCGTGATGAAAAGTAACCTGTTGTAGACGTTTGACCGGCAATACAAGGTATCAGAATGTTAAATTTTACTAAATTAGGTGCATAGTGTACTAAGCTCTATAATATACTATAGTTTTTTAACTATCCCACGGGAACTCTTTAATTTTCTAGGATGAAAAGTATCTAAGATATTGACCGGGGATATAAGGTACTACCATACAAAATTTTATTTAAATCGGTCTAATAGATTCGAAGATTAGCCCGTACAAACAGACAAACAGACAAACAGACAGAGAAACAAAAAATTTGAAAAAATCTGGATTTGTTCTATTTGTCTTCTTACATCCCCCTGACTCGGTTTTTAGCATTTTTTTGCTATGTACAGACATTCGACCTCTACTGTTTTATTATAGAAGATAAAATTCTTTAAAATTTTAAAAATTATACTCTGTATGAAAATATGCGTACCTATAGTATTTTAATGTATGACGTATGAGGAGAATGATGGCAATAGTGAAGCGAAACAGCTCTATCTTCATAGAAAGAATATATCGTAGTTGTTGGAACTCTGTTGTCTGCTGGAGCAAAGAAAAGACACCGTAGCTCTAACAAAACAAAATTCCTGACATTATAGGGACCTATAAGGTAATATCTTATAATAAGTAATCTACAATAATATTATAAAGAAGTAAAGTTTGTAGGAGGTGATCTCTGGATCTACTAAACCGATTTAGATGAAATTTGGTAAGACGATAGTTTGAGACCCTAGGAAGGACATAGGATACTTTTTATCCTGAAAATCATCCCTTAAGGGGGTGAAAACTGGGATTAAAGTTTGTATTTTGAAGCAAGCTAGGAACGAACGCGAGCGAAGCGAGGGTAAGTCGCTTGTACATAATATTTCCTAACGAAAAGATAGACTAGATAGAGCAGTAACACCTAAACAATAAATCTGCCTTATATAACCGATGACTCAAATAAAATATAAATGTAAAAATGGATGCTAATCATGCTAATAATGACTAATAGCATTCTACAAAATAATGTGTGAGGTAATGAATTTTTATAAGAAAATATCAATAAATACTAGTTATGGCGATGTTATAGGCACATTTATATTAAGCCTTAAAATAACAAATTTATTTTGTGTAAAAATAACCACTTTGTAAATATTACGTGTTACAATTTATACCTTCAACCACAATCACTACGCTCGTATTTCATATTAATTAATAACCTGCGCGACACACAATATGACGATATCAAATATTTAACCATTGTTTATTACCTATAGTAGAAGAGCACGCATACGTATGCAATGAAAATATAGTTTTTTTATTTTCTAATTTACAAAGAAGAGTATTTACTATATTTTAGTTTGTTTTAGTATGTTTTGTTTAATGAAAATGGTAAAAAATCCCTATTATTTAAATATAATCTATTTCTTTAACTGATATATTTCACTTGTAAAACAAATTAATGACAGTTAAACTGGTAATAAGTTGATGTAGATTGAATCATAAAATCTTAATCTTTATATAATACTCAAATATTTAAATAATACCTTAGGTAAATTCGTTCAATTATCTAAAAATAAACAATAACCTATATGTTGGTATTTGTTTTATCTCTTCAGGAAAATAATAAACGTCATCTCTTAAACTATAAAGCATGACCTACATACTAGAGTATAGAGTGGACACTGGATAGTATCGATTATCACGCGTCGCGCCTCGCTTCTTACCTAGAGTTAGTACAACATTTACGTCAATACTAGTAGGGATCAAAATATTTTATAATTTCAAATTTTTGCTGTAATAAAAGGTAAATTCCTTTGTAAAGTTCACTTTAAAAACAACTATAGTCTCAATCACTTTTATATGATCAAAATGAAGTACGCATTAAATTTAATTTTATATACAACTTGGGGTTTTTAATAAACATATAATGCCATCTGAATTTTTTAGTATTTTGAGGCCAACGATATTTTCTGAATACATAATTTTCATCTAATGGCAATTATTTAAGCAGTTTACCCGAATATGCCTCTCAGACAACAGTTAGTTCCTATATTGAATATCGAAAAAAATAATGAATAAATGAAAGAAAAAAAATATAATTTAAAATTGTATTAAAAAAATTACAATCCAAACAACAAATACAGGTATTTACTGACAGATATATATATATATATATATATATATATATATATATATCGTAGAAATAAAAATATGTGCAAGTGACTTCTTTTAAATAATCACGTAGATTTTGACTTTGTTGCTAAAGCGGGGAAATCTTGTAAAGTAACAAGAGGACCCGAGGCAGGAGAAGACACTTGTAACGCTTTCTTTAATTGAAGATACTTCTTAGTTCTTCATACTATATATTTGTATACAAGGGATCACGTTTCGTTTATAACCTATAGTAATATTTTTTACATACCTACATATAATATGTATGATCATTAGTACCTTAATACTTGAGAAGAGCATTTATTATATAAGACTAGCATTGCCCGCGGCTCCACCTGCGTTCCGATGACCAAAAACCAAATTCTTAGGTTTTACTTATTAGTACTAGTATAGTATTACATGATCTGTGATATTAGTATACTCTTACATTGCAGTTTTTGTCTTGTTTCTCAGAAATGAGATATTTTCCCGCGGTAAAAAGTATCCTATATGTGGACCCGAATAACCAGCAAGATCATACCAAATTTCATCACAATCCTCCAGTTGTTTTTCAGTAATGCGGTAACAGACAGACAGACAAAAATTTTAAAAAGTATAGATTCATCCTCTATATCGATAATTATGTTTATTTCAATAAGATTTTCCAAAAAATATCTAATGTACAGATTCGGCTTAGTTACAATTTTATTACATGGATATATGAAATGCCGATGTCATAATATCATTAAAGAGGAAAAAAGTCGGTGAACATTTTTAATTTTTGCGGAAGCTACCATATCAATTTTAATAGCAGATTGTATTCGTGGTATGATAAAATCACTTAGTTGTCAAACCATTTTTAACATATGATGCAGTAACGGTCAAACAGACAGACAGGCAATCATTTTAAAAATAAACCGGCCTCCGTACCAGTAGAAAGTACCAAAGGCTTTTTAAAAAACTTGTTAATCAATGTACAGACGCGATTTGGTTTCAATTTCATTATATGTACAGATAGTTCGACTCGATGGATTTAAAGTGAAAGAAGAATGTTAAAATATGTTTTATAATTCTTTGTCTACAGAGTATTTTTAAAGTTTTAAAGTCTAGCAATAATTGAGATAAAAGTCAATATACAAATAATTTTAATAATTTAATTTACTAAACAAGGTTGTGTAACATTTCAGACTCACTGAAACACACACATACACAATGCTATATAAACATAATTCATTTGGAAAACGTTAATGGGAGCAAAATTGCAGTTATTTGGAGCGTAAAATAATTCCTGTGAACGTTGAGTTAATGAAAACCAGTTATTATTTTTACGTGAATATTGCATCTTTATAAAAAAACTAATATAATAGATAAGATATTTAAAAAAAATAATGCTCTAACTTAATTTTAAAAAAATAATAATTTTACTTATAGAAATAAAAAAAAAATATTAACATATTAATTTCATTACAATAATAACGTTTTCGGTATTTTACAAGAAGAAAGAATATAGCCTAGGAAAATTAATTAAATCAGTCGTAATAATCAGTGTAGTTTTGAATACTGCGAAGGTGAAAATGGCGGTGGAAGAGGAGCGAAAGGTACATCTCCCAGCATTTCTCTAATATCTCGAAAACTATTAATAATATCATTACGATTACTCCCACATAACGACATTTCTACAATTATGGTATACTAGCATTGCCCGCGGCTCCGCCCGCGTTCAGATGACCAAAAACTAAATTCTTAGGTGTTACATATTAGTATACTCTTACATTGCAGTTTTTGTATTTTTCCTCAGAAATAAGATATTTTCCCGCGGTAAAAAGTATCCTAGGATCGCGCGCTACATCGCCCGGTTTATATAGCTTGAGCAGGCGGTCGAGCGATGCGGGGCAGAGGGGATGGACTCGCCGTAGGCATCTCAATGCTCGCCAAGCATTAAAAATGTTTCGCTACTAATTACTTCTAACAACGATATCTCAAAAACTATTCATCTGATTGATTTAGTGTAAAGAGCAATTTTAATCTGCATTAAATGACTAAGCTAACTAAAATATTCATTTGGATAAGGATTAATACCGAACTAAAGAAAATAACTTTGAAAATAACGTAATGTTTTTAATTAAAAATGTTAACATAAAAGTGGTTATTGTAAGTCAACCGTAAGAGATAGAGATATGCTATCGCGGACTTTTTTGTAGCATTTTTATAGATTTTGAATTCTCTAGTACATTACTTAACTGTATCTTTGCTAGTTTACGCGGCGTTCGCGTGGAAAGTTCCCATTTGGCGAGATTTTTTGCGACCTCTTCAACATTTGTCGCCGTATTTCAGCTAATTTACATAAAAGCATAATAAATTATATACCTAAACCTTCCTCAAGAATTACTCTTTCTATTGTTGAAAACCGTATAAAAATCCGTTCAGTAGTTTTCGAGTTTATCGCGTACAGACAGACAGGAGGACAGACAGGAGGACAGAAAGACGCGGCCGGGGGACTTATTTTTATAATAAGTATAGATATATATATATATATATATATATATATATATATATATATATATATATATATATATTCATATATTCCCACGTCGCGTCGTTCTAAACAACACTACTTGGACTAGCGCAAAGTAGCAATCATTAATCAATTGTTAGATTATTAAAAACCCATTGAACTTACTAGGGCGATGGCAATTACCTACGCGGCCGTGGTATACGTTAGTTATCAGTTGATCGAGGCGTGCAAGTGAAAGTGTCCCTACCATCAGATAACTGTGCATGCTTCAGGTACTTACTACTTAGGGTGACAATAAATTTAAGAAAATATATATATAATATATATAATATAAATATATAAATAAAAAAGATATTATAAAAATAAAAAAAACCTGACTACATAAAATCTAACTAAAAATATGAATAACGAAGAAATAAAGTATGGCCATTGCAGCAATGTTAGATTATTTACATCTATTTTGTTGGACTAGAAATAAAAATCGTGCATTTAATTGTTCGCCTTTTAATGTCACTCTTTCTTTTTTTTATTCAAATCTATACCGAACGTAATTTATAAAAAAAAGTCTTAATCAAAAATGTAAAAGTATAAAAAGGATGTATGTGTATATATCTGTGCCTACAAAAGTATTAAGCATTCGGAGACTTTAATTTGCATACATCTTGCGGCAAGGATGAAATGTCTTTATAATAATATATTTTTTATTAACAGCCTTTTAGTTTTTGCCAATTAGACATTTGCAGTTATATTTAGCAATTTTTTATCCTAAATTACTTTTAATAATATAAGTTGTATATATTTTTGTGATTGCCTCTTAAAAGCCTTCATTTCGATATCCCACTCGATAGGTTTGGAAGACTTTTTTTAAATAAAGACCCACAAATTGGCGCCCGATATCCGCCACTTTAATTTTTTACTACATATTTTATATAACCCATGATACTCGCGTTATCAAGACGAATCTAACGCCGTATGAATCATCAAAATCGGTTAGGTCTCTAGAACGCTCATAGAAACAAACATACATACATACATACTTACATACATGCATACATACGTACATACATACAAAGACTGATAAACACATTACCTTCCTTTACGTCGTGCAGTCAGGTAAGAAGGAAGGGGAAGTCAATTTGGCGGTAAATCTTTTTCAGTAAAAAGTAATATAGGCAGATAGACATGTGGCGCTAATGGAACTTTTTCTCCTGCCTTTCAGCATCCCTTCAATGAAATGTCTCTTTTATGAACGATATTAATTGATTGATGAAGACTTAACGAAGAAAGATGAAGATTGTGTTCCCACTTTCATTTACATACTTTATTTTTATTACAACTTATGTATATTTTTAGTACAACTTATGAATATCTATATAAATAAAAATAAATCACAGAAATGTATGTACGCGCATAACTTCCGATCGACTGCACCAAAGATAATGGTTTTTGTGTGTGTTTGTTATTGTCAGGACAAGTTTTGTATAGAGGAAATTTAAAGTTTTTTTTTTACTAAAATAAGATATTTTTTAATTTAAAAAGTGCGTGAGTGAAATAGTTTTTATCCCGGAAAACATTCCTTAAGTGGGTGAGAATGGAGGTGATAGTTTATATGGGGAAGCTAGGGACAAACAAGGGCGAAGCGAGGGTGAGTAGCTAGTTATAAATAAAATCTATACATATAATAAAATTCTATCTAAGTCGAATCTGTACATTAAATATTTCTTGGGAAATCTAATTGAAATAGACATTATTATCGATACAGAGTCCGAATCTATAGTTTTTAGAATTTTTGTCTGTCTGTCTGTCTGTCTGTTACCGCATCACGAGAAAACCACTGGACAGATTTGGATGAAATTTAGTATGATGATAGCTGGTTATCCGGGTCAACATATAGGATACTTTTTAGCGCGGGAAAATATCTCATTTCTGAGAAAAAATACAAAAACACAAAAACTGCATTGTAAGAGTATACTAATATGTAAAACCTAAGAATTTGGTTTTTGCTCATCTGAACGCAAGCGGAGCCGCGGGCAATGCTAGTAAATCAATACAACTGTAAAGTACAAAGTACTTATACGTACGGTTACTTCCTTGTATGTTTAAAATTTCGGCACAGGACTGAATGGTTATTTAACAAATCGGATGCTGGATAACCATATAGATTATAGATAGATAGCGCCTAGATATACGCATAATCTAAAAAAGATACCCATTTACTAATTGTTTTCTCGTAATCAAAAATTCTTAAAACATCCTGTAATCCAAGTGTCCATGTATAAAAAAATAACGCGTGACAGTAATATTTATAGTTTGTTTTTATTAGCAAAAGTCATGGTTACTTACAATCAAGGTACTTTTCTCCATTGTCGTCATACTACTTTAAGTACTATTGCCAATGTCGGTAAACAGCTTTCCACGATTTAAAGGGCGTGTGTTTTAGTTTGAATTTTCATTATTTAGTTTTTACATCTATTATATAATTAAGTAAAAAATTGAAAACAAGATGTCTATATGAGTTTTAATATGATATGATGATAACGTAAAAAAATTAAAAAATTGACGATTCAAGAGGCTTAAAAAAAACTATTTGAATAAAGTCCTATATTTCAAATTAATTTGATATAGTAATTATTATACAAATTGTAAAAATGATTAAAACTAAATGGATGGAAGAACAGAAAAAATATTAAAAAAAAGAAATAGCTGAAATATACGTAATGTGATAGAAATTCCGACATTTTATTTAGCCTCTAGCTATATCTTATCTCCTTAAGCCGTAACAACTTGTCAGTTTCATCTTAGCCCGCCGGCAACCCCTCGAGAGGGCATTTCGGCATTTAGGGGAGACTTACAAGGTCAATGACCATCTTATAATTTATTATCATCCTTATATGCGAACTACATAATGTAAATGAAAAAAAGAATGAAATGAAAAGCTTGTTTTTTTACAGCTTATCTATAAAATTATATTTTGCTTCGAAAAAATTATACTATTAACAAATTCTGTGAAATTTAAAATAATATAAATAACTAAATAATATACATTATAGATATTTACTATGAAATTAAAATGACATTACCGTAAAAGATAAATAGTATACGAGTAGTATGTAGTAAGTAGTAATATTTAGTAAAAGTAGTAGGTATTTAGTTGCCATGAATAAAAAATCATAAAAATACAGTAGTATTAGAAAAACACGCTTGTTACGTACTAACAATAAGTAGGTCATCATAACGTGCCAATATTACCTATGTATTACTTACCCAGTCCCTCCTAAACGTTTCTGCGCCGCACTTATTTATGCTAATACAATTGATTAAACACTATTTACATCAACATGACCACAAATACATAGACTAACTCAAGAAATAATATTTTAGAAGTAATATTGGATGGTTTTAATGAGAAAATATGAGTTTTATTTAGTAAAATAGTGTAATATCGATTGAGCGGCGCGCGGCCGCGCGGTCTGTCACGGAATGAAACGCCGGGGTGCGCGCGTTTTCCTCATTTTCCCGCCACAGTAGGGGTGGGTTCGGAAATTTGCTTCAATTCACTATAATAGCAACGTTGTGTTGCTAGCCGTTTGCACGATACTTAAGATTAGAGTTGTAAACCTATTCTCTTATTGCACCGCTTTGGAATGATAACAGTCGAGTGAAAAATTTAAATTAGTAATGTTCTTGATTACAGCTAATTGCGTTAATTAAAATGATAGATTTCGACATTTATTAATATCAGTCGAGATACTAACCATCAAATAATATAATTTAAAACATAATATAATTATATAAGAATAAGTATTTTAAATTTTAAGCTATAGTTTTTACTAAAAAAATCCAATAATCTCACTTTATTATATTGGACTAATTAATTAAATAATGTCACTGATATTATACGCTACTAAATACTTTACTAAAATATTATTAAAATACATATTTACTCTTTTTATCTTCTATCGCATTTTAGGCACATACTTATATGTATTTATTTGAAAATTCATTGACCATATCGAAGGGGAAAAAACTTGGGGTGATATTTTAGTTAACTGCGTCTACTAACATTACGGAATCCTACAAATTTTGAACTTTTCATCGTGTTAGTATCGAAACATCATCTTTTAGTATTTATTCCATTAAAACAGAAAAAAACAATCAGACGTCATTGATTGTAACTTCTTACTATTAATCTATCTCTATAATAAAACAGTAGAGGTCGAATGTCTGTACATAGCAAAAAATGCTAAAAACCGAGTCAGGGGGATGTAAGAAGACAAATAGAACAAATCCAGATTTTTTCATTTTTTTGTTTCGCTGTCTGTTTGTATGGGCTCCGTACAAACAGACAGGGAAACAAAAATCTCCGAATCAATTGGACCGATTTAAATGAAATTTTGCATGGTGGTACCTTATATCCCCGGGCAACATTTTAGATATATTGAATATGAGTAAAGTAGGTATACTAAAGTAGTATTTTACATCATCAACAAACCTATTGCTATAATAAAAAATCCAGTAGGTAATGTATGTATGTAACACGAATGAGAAAAGTTCGATTATTCAAAAATTACCAACGCTTTCCTAAATTTTTTGAATCATCATTCACACATTTAAAAATATTGTATATAAAATTATTATTAAACCCATAAGCCATTAAGTACAAGTAAACTCCTTTATCTAATTAAGAACAAAATCAAGTGAAATTGAAGGCCTGAGCATACTTTAAAATCAAAGGAGCATTGCGAGTAGAACTTAACGCTCTGTGTACATATTATGAAAACACTTTAGTTAGAGCACTTTAGGGGCTGTCCAATCTCAATATGCAGGGGTCCACCCCTGTGTCGTAGTGCGTAACAGGAACTAGTCCGTTTCAAATAAGACTGTGCGGGTGATATTTTCTTTTAGTATTATCAATCACGTTTATAATAAACTTCCGGTCTGAAATAGCACATATTAGATTTATTCTGAATATTCAGTGTCACCTAATATTTACATACTAGTACTATCCCACGGGAACTGTACATTTTTCCGAAATAAAAAGTAGCCTATGTGTTATTCTGATGTATGAGCTATAGGTATTATTGTAAAGTTTCATTAAAATCCATTTAGTAGTTTTTACGTGAAAGAGTCACAAACATCCATATATCTATACATCCAGACATCCATACATCCTCACAAACTTTCGCATTTATAATATTAATAGGAAGTAGGATGTTATTATTAAAAACAACCTAAAACCTAAAACTATTTGATCTTATAAACATATCGTATAGAATGAAGTATCCGCAAGCATTTAAATTTCAATATATAATATTATGCTATTAAGTATAATAATAATAATCTATACATATAATAAAATTGTAACTAAGCGGAATCTTTGTTTTGGAAAATCTAATTGAAATGAAAGTTATTGTCGATACAGAGGCCGAATCTATGGTTTTTAGAAATTTTGTCTGTCTGTCTGTATGTCTGTTACCGCATCACAGAACAACTACTGGAGGGATTTTGATAAAATTTGGTATGGTGATAGCTGGTTATCCGGGTCAACATATAGGATATTTTTTACCGCGGGAAAATATTTACATTTCTAAGAATTACATTTCTAAGAATTATACATTTCTAAGAAAAAATAGAAAAACTGCAATGTAAGAGTATACTAATATGTAAAACCTAAGAATTTGGTTTTTGGTAATCTGAACGCTGGCGGAGCCGCGGGCAAAACTAGTGTAGATAAAAATATAATATGTAGGTAATATAAGTACTGACGTTTGGCATAATTATTGAAAAGTCACAAGAAAAATCGTTAACGTACCTAATTATAAATCAATACAAATCAATAAGAAATGCTAAACTAATAATATCATAAATTAAAAATATGAATATGGAAATTTATACATAACATTTATAGTAATAAAAAAGTCTAAAGTAAGGTCATGAATAAAAATGACCATTTTAACTAAATTTATTTTCATTTTTCTTATTCACAAACTAGAAATAATATATGTTTTAATATAACTTATTTATTATATATGGTAATAATAATGTCCTCCTTACTAGTTTTCGGCCACGGCGGCCAATCTCACTAATAGCCAGACATGCAGGAGAACGAGTACGCGCAAACACAAGTGCACTCTCTATTCCTTTTCCTCAAAGTCCGTTTGGACGATACTTCGACACGAGCGGTGAGAGTTAAGGCGTAGGACCGACAGCTTTACGTGGTCTCCGAGGCACAGAGGTGTAACACCGTCAACTTCCCTACTCCGGGCTACTACTGAGAATATTTTAACATAAAAAATCATTTCTAAACTTGACCTTGAACCCGATCCGGGACTCGAACCCATGACCTCCGGATCTGCAGCCATTCATGCTAGCCACTCGACCACCGAAGCATTTATATATAGAGACAATACAAAAGAGATAATTGTACAAATATCGAATTATAATGAAATAACCAAGGATTCTGATTCATATGATCACCATATTAACTTTTAGGGTTACCAATATGCAACTATAAATGATGATGAATGTAAAATCAAGAAAATGTATTTATAATTAAGAAAAACATAGTCATCAACACCAACCGCTTTAAATCGAAAAATATAGTTTATTTGGGTTTAAAACGGTTCTTTTCGTTTTAAACGGTTTGGTTTAATTGGTTTTAAAACTGCCTTATATCTAAGTCAGGGCCACCGCAGGATACATCTCTCCTTCTCAATTCTTCCTTCAGAGTTCAGCTGGTCTAACTTCCAGGTACAATACATTGCACAGGTAAGATGCGAACACAATAGAAGCAAGAAACCAGGTATAAAAGAGATATCACAATAAATCGCTTAACCTCAGACTTTAGAGTATACATAAGCTATAGAGCGCGCGTAAGCAAGTATGAAATGTAAGCACGGGTATGAACAGTCTCGAAATAGCAAGGCTAGGGCGACGCTATTAGTCACGAAAAACATGCGCGTTGATTGTTTCTCTCGACCGTATTTATTTGGATTTATGTACTCATTATTGTAGTGTTTGTGTATTTAATCTGTAATGAGTTGTCTCGGGTGCACGGGTAGGGGATTGACACTTGACAGTTACGTGAGAGCCGAGGCGGGGCGAGCGTACGTGTCAATCCTGCATACTGGTGACCAAACGAGCCAAACAGTGTTTACTTGTATTTTATGCAAACACTACAATTATGAAATATGCAGTTCCAAGCTGTAAAAACAATTCACGGAAGCAAACTAAAACGAACAAAAATATTTCAATATCATCGGTACACAATATTTTTATCAAAAAACACAGATTTTAACAAAATTACACAGGCGTGAGCGGGTGTTGCGGAAGGCGCGCGGAGGGGTCAACACAACACGTGATTCCGCGCCCCCCGCTTCCTACTTTCCGTCATTAAGAGCTAGTGTTGTACCACGCGTTGTACTACTCGAATGTTTTGTATAACCATCAATACATAGTATAAAACAAAGTCGCTTCCCGCTGTCTGTCTGTCCCTATGTATGCTTAGATCTTTAAAACTACGCAACTGATTTTGATGCGGTTTTTTTTAATAGATAGAGTGATTCAAGAGAAAGGTTAATATGTATAATACATGCATATTATAGTACAGAAAAGCCGAGAAATTCAAATATTGGTATTTCATACTAACCGTTATAACATACCTAGGGACGAACCAGAGCGAAGCGAGGGTGAGTCGCTACAAGTATTATAAATTAAGATTCTTTGTAAATACAAAGAATCTTAATTTATAATATGACAAATGTCAAAAATAAAACCTTTAAATTTTAATGGCACCAAAGTACCTTACAATATTACTTAATTTTAATTTTAAAGATTTTTATAATTTTAATAAGTTTTATAATAATGGCATGGAATATTATTTATTTCATTTTAACTGTTATTATTATAATAATTACAATTTTTTTAGAAAACTTTATTAATTAGTCATCTTGCATCAATGTGAAAAGTTAAAGAGAATAATATATAATTTTAATTTAGTTTACTATTATTAAAAAAAAAATATTAAGCAACACTATTACTACATAGATTTACAAATGAAAGATATTAATTTGAAATACAGTAATTTTAAATAATAAAGCCTTTATGTGCGTGAATAAATTGTTATGTTAAATAGTTTATGTTAATATACTTCTTTTTTAATTAAATTTTAAAAGTTTTACTAGGCGCATCACTATTCAACCGCTTCATCTACAAGTATGTATCAATAGGTGTGTATAGAACATCTGCTTACGTTTCGCATAATGGATAATGAGCGATACGCGCGCTCTATAGCATATGTATACTCTAAGCCTCAGACTGAATATAAATAGGCCATACATGTGGCGTCCTCCTTTCGAGAAATCTTCCCCATTCTGTATCTGTATTTTGTAGCATCTGTGTCATATGTGACAAATTTTTAAAATGTTAGCCGATGTCAAAGTTGTAACGGCTATTTGTAGAGAAAATATTTGTATTTTGTATTGTGCCAAGTTTGTTGAATATGAATATGAAAAGTGACCTTAGTGAAGTAAAAGAACTTGAGAATAAAATAATAAACCATGAAGCTTACGGAAATTCGTATGTACATACTTAATAACGTTTAGTACTTTATAATAAATAATTTACACTGTAAACTTACTGCTTTATTTTATCTTATAGATATAAATGGTCTCCCAGAGATTTTGAATTGGGTTCAGCATTAGGCCAAGGAAAATTTGGTCATGTTCATGTGGCAAGAGAAAAGAAGACTGGATTTTTAGTTGCCATTAAAGCTTTGTTTAAATCACAAATAACGAAATCTAGATGTGAAAGACAAGTAATGAGAGAAATTGAAATACAGTCACATCTGAAGTAAGTTAGGTAATACTTAAAAGATATTTTTTTACAAAATGGGGGTTCTCTAAACTTTTGTTTTTTCTAGACATCCTAATGTACTCCGATTATTGACGTGGTTTCATGACGAACGGCGTATCTACCTTGTAGTGGAATTTGCAGCTGGTGGTGAATTGTATAAACACTTAACAAACTCCCCTAAGGGCCGTTTTCCGGAAAATAAAGCTGCAAAATATATTTACCAGGTACCAATATTGAAATAAACATTAGAAACTTAATAGGTTGACAAAACCTAGTCTTAAAAATTAAAGAATTGTCTTAAACAAGTTAAATTATTTTCTTATTATAGATTAATATATAGGATATTATTTAATTTTTTTTTATGCTTAAAAGTAAACAGGCCCAAAGTAACACAGCTTCAAAAATCTAATCAAAGTTCCATATTAGTTTAATTAACAAGTGAAAAATTAATTGTACTATACTAATTCTAGGTTGCTGATGCAGTAGAATACTGCCACCAACATCATGTAATTCATAGAGATATAAAGCCTGAGAATATTTTAGTAGCATTCAATGGGGACTTGAAATTAGCTGACTTTGGATGGTCGGTACATGCTCCATCAGAAAGGTTTGTTTTGATAGTACATAATAATTTGTAATTTTAAATTACATATCCTATTTTTCTTTATGTGAAGATGGTATATATAATGGAATAATATTAATAATTATTTCAACAGGAGGAAAACAATGTGTGGGACACTTGATTACTTACCTCCAGAAATGATAAAACGTGAAGTATATGATGTGTCTGTTGATCACTGGTGTATTGGAGTATTGCTTTATGAGTTCTTAGTTGGCAAACCACCTTTTGAAAGTGAAGGCCAAGACAAAACATACGCTAGAATTTTGACTTTAGATATTGTATACCCAGAGTATGTACCTGAAGGAGCTAAGGATCTAATTTCTAAGGTAAGTGAATTCTATTTCATATTATTATTAGCAAAGTAAATTTCCTGTGTAGTGTAAACTTTTATATTTATTGTTATGGCTGTGGATAAAGTGTAGCTTTTGACATTTCGTACTTTTGAAAAGCAGAGCACAAAAGGTTTGTGATGAAAAGAAAAACAATATTAAAATTACTGTTTATATAAAAAATAAAATTATAGATAAGATATAAAAACATGATCATAACATCGATCTAATATAGTATATTATATTTTCAGCTCTTAAGACATTCAAGTAAAGAAAGACTGTCATTAGATGGAGTGAAGAATCATTATTGGGTGCAACAGTTCTATAATGTTTAATATGTAAAAACAATGTTTATTATTATATACTGGACTACAAACCAAAAACAATACATATTTTTTTATGTTGTATGACACTGTGGCTGACAATGCCATATTGACCTAATTGACAAATAAATGACTTTGAAAGCTGATGTTTATTTAAATATATTCAGAAAAAATAAAATTTAAGTATAATTTTTAGCACCATATTATGTAAGATTTGTAATCTTTCAAAGTATTGCTTATTATTACACATACATACATTTGTTCTTTGATTTTAACTTGACATTATTGACTTTGTAATGAAACAAATATTTTATAGAGTATAGCCAAATTCTTTTATCCATTTTAAACCATCCTTGCTATTTCCAGCTGGCTTATACTCGAGTCCAATCCAGTCTGTATAGCCATTATTTTCTATATGCTGAAGTATGTACTTATAGTTAATTTCCCCAAAAGTGTCAGGTTCATTGCGATTAGGTACTTGAGCTATCTGCAAATAGAAAAAAATATGTAATAAATTCGTAACAATAAATTTATATTTTTTACAAAACAGATTGTTAATTTTAGAATAAGTAAATTAGTGCAAGATGTTTTTAACAAGTCTAAAATAAAACTCTTGATTTCAATTAAATATTTTATTCTTTCATATCCATTTCTAATGTGTAGCATCATACAAGTTAAAGAATATAGACATTTCAATACCTGAATGTGGCCAACGTAAGGCATGAGATTCTTGATGTTATGTGAGAGATCACCACAGATATGTTGCAAGTGGAAAATATCCAGCTGTAATTTCAAGTGTGCGCTGTCTATTCTTTTTATTATTTCTACAGCTGAAAAAGCAAATTTTAAGACATTATTAATTGTTAATAAATTGTAGACCTTGTAGTTGCATGAAATGAAGATTTAGCTACAGTGGAATGTCCACATCCCAGACCAAAGTAGATTAGATATTTTAAATATACATATTTTCCCTATACAAATTTTAATCTCCATTTTCACTCCCTTAAGGGATGATTTCAGAGATATAAAGTATCTTATGTCCTTCCCAGGGTCTCATAATATCTTCTGACCAAATTTCTCATCTAAATCGGTTCAGTAGATCCAGAGATTACCCTTTACGATGTCACAAACTTTATGTCTCTTATAATTTTAGTATAGATTATATTTACTATGCAAGATCACTTATATTCATTAATATATTTATCTAATAAATGAGAATATTAAAAATATACCTTTGCCAAAATCGTTTAGGAAATATTTAGGTACAGAGTGCTGATTAATTGGTTCTATTACACCTAAGATATTCTCATCCTTCAATATATTAGCTGCATATTTCAAATTATTTTCATAGGTTTCCCAGTTCTTAGAAGACACATCTTCCAATTTACCAGCCATAATGTGAATCTTTCGGGCCCCAAGAGCTTTAGCATAATCAATAGTTGTCTTCAAATTATCTTTGAATTCATTTTCTTTTCCTGGAACTGCTGTAACTCCTAATTCACCCTTGGTTACATCTCCTTCAAGCAATGATAGAAACAATAAATCACAAATTTAAGGAAAATAACAGTATAAAAATGTTATAATATGTGTTTGTAATGTCAAAATAATAGCTTTTAACTAAATACATATGGATTTACAGGGACATAAGAAAAACAATTTTTAAAATTTTGATCTGTATGTTATGTCTAATCTCCGAAACGACTGGACTGATTTTGACGGGACTTTCACTGGCAGATAGCTGATGTAAGAAGGAGTAACTTGGGCTAGTTTTATTTTAGAAAAGGAATTAGTAAAAGTAAAAAATAAGGGTTCCACTCAAAAAAATTAAAGCTAGGGACGCACCCTAGCGACGCGAACGTAAGTCGTTAGTTCATTCTAATATTATATATTTAACAAAATGCCTATCTACCTGTTTTAAGATTGATCAAAATTTGTTCAACACCACTGGATTCTTTTGCCTTCTTGACTTGTTCCAATGTGCTACCGAAAGGAAACCCAGTCTCGACAGCCTTAAAACCTGCATCTCTGGCTAAAATGTATCGCTCCAGTATATTCGAGGATTCCGTAAACATAAAAGATAAATTTGCACAAAATTTCATTTTTATTTATTAAGTTATATTCAAAAGTAATTATCAGACCAGTCGTATAGTTAAAACTGAATTAAAATAATTTTTAACATACAAGTAATATGTTTTTATGAAAGTACAATATCTATTTTTAAAAATTATGATAACATTTTCTTATCAACACTTATCACAAGCTGTCAAGTAAACATTTTGATATGCCACTTGTCAAACGTCATTCAGTGTCAGTACCTACACCACGCTGTCAATACCGCAAACCATGCTTAGATAAAAATTAACAGAGCAAAAACCTACGTGTAAAATTGTTATAGTAAAAAAATACCAAGATATACATTGGTGGTTTTACTTAAATTCTATGGCTTGATTTAAAAAAAATCAAAGCACAGGGAAATAAAGCGTTCTTAAATCAAATCTCCGTAACTTTACTGATAACTAAAAAATCAGCCTAGTCATGCGAAAAGTTTTTTATAAACCGGATCAACGATCAAGAATAAAATACTATCTATGTCTGCTCTTTGATCTATTACATACAAAAGTAAATAATGCTTAGATCGTCCTTACGAATTTCTATATACTAGCCATCGATGTTATTCTATTGACTATTTTGCATTTCAGACAGGATACAGCTTGGAGTTTTAGAAATAAATTTTTACATTTACATTATTCTTAATAGATGGAGAAGTCTGGTAACAGGAGAAAGATGTGTAATATGCTAAAATCAAAAACAGATGGCGCATTGTGTGTTTTATGTAATATTCAACTGTCTTTGTTTTATGTATGTAAGAAATTACTTTGCTGAATATCAGTCACCATCAAATCAGCAAGCATCAAATCCACATAGATTGTATTACTGTTTATAAGGTTTTTCGACACAAAAAATGTATTTTATTGAAAATTTTCCAAATTATACTTTCTAAATTATTAAATAGTAAATTTATTTGAATAAAACCATCTTTTTAATATACCTAAGTAAATAATAAAACTAAGTGCCAAAAAAAACTTGCTCCCTTGGTGACTGCAGGCGCAAGGACAATGTGTCCCACGAAATTCTCGAAAAAGTAAAATAATAATAATTTTGACTTCTGATTTATATGTTAATTTAATCCCAACTGAACCATATTCTATAAGCCAATTCGTATTTTTTGTACTTAAAACCTTATGGTCCTGAAAGGGTTAAAGCCTGTTATTGTTACTTGTTACTGAAAGGGTTCGGCAGTATGCGGACCATCGCCATGTACATATGTTTAAAAATTAGAAACAGTTAAACACACATTTTCTACAGTTACAAAATCTAAGATCAGAACAATATCTGTTAGGTAGTAGGTTCACTCAATATGATATCTGTGCAAAATTGTCATTTATTGAATATTTGAATCATAGAATATTTCTATGTAGCAATTCTTATGCCTCCCGCAGTTGCTATTGCCATACAAATTATGTCAGGCGCTTCAATAAACATCAGACTCATATTTATATTGTCCTATTTAAAATTTATAGGCAGTGGTAGCCCAGTGGTAACTCGCTCACTTGGGAAACCGAGTGAAGCAAGTTCAAATCCCGGGTCTCGCACCTCTGATATTTTCATGTGCGAATCATCTTCTACATGATTACCACTTGTCTTAACGGTGAAGGAAAACATCGTGAGGAAACCTGCATGTCTCAGAGAACCTAGCAAGTTTTCAAAAGACATGTGAAATCCGCCAACTCGCACTTGGCCAGCGTGGTGGACTATGGCCGGATTCCTCTCGTACTGAAGGGAGGCCGGTGCCCAGCAGTAGGACGTTAAAAAAAGGGGCATACATACATACATACATTTAAAATTTTGGGGAAATTAATAATAAGACGTAGTCGTAATATCTATTTTCCTTTAATATAAACAATTTCAGCGTTAGAATACAATATAGCATCAACTATACATACCTTATCCTTTATACATTATTACACAACGGGTATTCAATCTGATCGCAATAAGGTAATATTAAAAGTAACAAGGATGAAATCTAAACTATGATTGCATCTTTAATACGTGATTAATAAATTAAATATAGGAAATTATCACTACCATGTTATGTTCGGGTAACATAAGCTATGGAGCAACTCGTATAATACATGTGATTAAAACGTAAAGGTGGAATGAAAATAGAGCTGTCAACTTTTGATTTGAACTTAACCGATAATATTGAAAATTTTAAGAAAAAGCTAGCAAAGAAACATAGTCTTAAATGTTATTATTATATTATTAATCTATTAACTGAATTGTTTTTTTTTTGATAACATTTTTTTATGAAATAAATATTTTACGGATTTTATAAAATAAGGACGTTTATTTTTTTTTCTTGATTATATAAGTACTTTAGGCCTAATTAAATAAGCTGACAACTCTATTAAAAGTAACTTAAAACTAAACATTTACTGCATGGTGTACCTGTATAGTCTGCAGTCAATCTTGGCTTTGCAGTTTGCAGTCTTCACAAAAAGAGGTATTTATGGTTGATAATAATTACATAAATATGCTTTTTGATATTAACACAGCCATATTTTACTACGTTGTATAGTTACAAACTAAGCTTAGCATAATGTAAATATAAAATACTTAACTATTTAATAATATTTTGTGTACAATTCTATCCATATATGAAAGAAATGAACAATTATTTGAGCAGACTGTGCCAATACCCTGTAAAACATTTTCATCCTATTGATTTCAGTCATGGCAACCTTTTGTTATCAGATTATCCAAAATAAGTAATATGTAACTTAAACATCAAAAAGCACACATTACAAACAATACCTTTGCTTCTCATCAAAATATTAATAATTTTGATTTTCCTCACGTTTATACTCTAACAATTCAAGCAATTGCTAACATATAATTATATAATACAACATATAAGTCTTATAATTACTTAAAACAACACAACATAGGAGCAAATTTTTTATCACTATGAAATAATCAGTACAGTGAGCACGTGGTTTGGAGCATAAAGATTGCGGTAATACAAAAGTCGCTTAAGGTTACCAGTAGAGTCCGGCATGATTACAAAAAAATAATGTTTATATTTGGGTCAAATAAGTTTTCATTAAATAATGGTAGCATCGTAATTATATCTATAAGAAAATTATATATTCATTGCTCTTTACTTTAATATTCGTTAAAACAAAAAATCTATTATAGGGGTCGTCATCCAGCATGGGAATTCAAATTAATATATTTTTTAAACCAAATATCTGGTAACCCTAAGAACGCTACAAGAATTATTATTAGCTTTACCACTCGACTAACCGCAAAGATACTGGCGCCTTTGGTGATAAAAGGAAGTCAAACTGGATATCTAACTCCCCATCGAACTCAACTCGCCAGTGTTGTAATATCTGTAAAGAAATAAAGGATAGACTATGCCATTTTTTATTACCAAATCCGTTCACTGCGAAAGAATAACAAACATACACACATACAAACTTTCCCATTTATAATAGTAGTCCGATATACCTTAGCCAAAATCAAATGGAGCTCCAGTTCCACAAACCGCTTGCCGGGGCACATGCGGCGGCCTCTCCCAAACGGCGCGACGATGCTCGCGGCGTGCGGCTCGCGCACGTCTATCCAACGTTCCGGGAGGTACTCACTGGCGCGCCAGAAGTTCTCTTCCCTACGACACGCTGCACCAGTGTGGGCTAGCACAAAAGTCTGCAAAATAATAATTAAACTATAGTTTGATGTATATAAAAGTTATAAAAAATAGGGTAACCGTTATGTAAGAAGATTTTAAACTACCGTCACCAAGTTCGATCAAAAGAGGAAGCAAGTTAAGAAAGTGTGTGAATTATGTATTAGGTAGTAAAAATTTAATAAATACATACATATATTAATTAAAATCAACTAGGAAGGCTATTTAGGAAGGATATTTAAACGTATAAATCTTAACCTAAATTTACCGCATGAACTATCATTCTAAATACAATGTAACGTAGTTAATATTAAATGTAACCGTTAACAACCGATTCGTAAATATTTGAAACTAATAAGATTTTCAAAACAAAATATAACAACTTACCCCAGCAGGCAATCTGTGACCATCAATCGTCATCGGCGTATCTAGGAGTCTAGCCAAGAACGGTGCAGTGGGCAAAAGCCTGAAAGCCTCGTTAACCGCAGCGCGGACCGATGGAGCCGCCCCTAGTTCTTCAATCCGTAGTTCACCGCAAGTTGGAAGTTCTGATCTGATTCTCTGTTGCCAGTCTGCTCGCCCGCTTAGCAGATACAGCACAAATACTAGGGTGTTTGCCAACTGGAAATAGATAATATACGAGTATATAATAAAATTGTAACTAAGCCGAATCCGTACATTAAATATTTTTTGGAAAATCTTATTGAAATATACATTATTATCGATACAGAGGCCGAATCTATAGTTTTTAGCATTTCTGTCTGTCTGTCTGTCTGTCTGTTACCACATCACAGAAAAACCACTGGAGGGATTTTGATGATATTTGGTATGGTAATAGCTGGTTATCCGGGTCAACATATAGGATACTTTTTTACCTCGGGAAAATATCTCATTTCTCAGAAAAAATACAAAAACTGCAATGTAAGCGTATATCGTGAAAAATCTACGAATTTGGTTTTTGGTCATCTAATCGCGGGCGGAGCCGCGGGCAATGCTAGTAGATAATAAAATGTATATATACAGAAAAAAAGGTCATATACTAAATAATATATTATGTATACTTATATACATACATAGATATTTATTTGAGTAACAGTTGATGAATGAAAACTTGAGTGTTGAAACATGTTAAGGAAGTATGACAATATTCTCATACATTATGCTCGAAACGTATCTTGAAGGTGATAAAAAAAGGCAAAATATCCTTGAGTGAATTTCCTTTATTATCTAATGGTATATTCGCGTACATTTTGGCTTACCGTTTCAATGCCAGCAGTGATAAAGTCAATAACGGCTGCTTTCTTATCGCGCATGTCTAGCTCAGGGTTGGAGAAAATCTTGAGGAAGATCTCCTGCATGCCGTCGTCCTGCGCCGCGCCACAGGTCCTCAACTTCGCTTCCTCCATTAGTTCAGATACTATCCTACCAACATGGAGTTGGCAATCAGATTATATGGTATTGATATTGGATAGTCATATGTTATTTAAGACTTTTCTGCTGAAAATTGGTTAAGGTTGTTTCTACATGAATACAAAACTGTACACAAAGCTACACCCTTTAAGTCTAAAAAATATTGAAGAACGAAAATATATTTTCAATAATTTTAAAAACTCACATATGTATAGTTTCCTCACTTCTGACAAAGGTTTTGTATAACGAAGTTGGCGCAAACTTCCAAAGAGGAGCTCCGTAATAGGAATCTCTTTGAGCCCTGAAATGCGCCTTTACTGCTGCTGCTAACGCCGCTGCGCGTCCAGACATCCATCTCTCGAGAAAACCAAGTCTCGTTCCTAACATTAAACTGCAGACGGCTGTAACAAAATATGGATTTATTTCATTTATATTACTTAATATTAACTAGTTCTTAAAAAGTTTGAAAGTAAAAAGTGATGTCAGGTATACTGATCAGATTTTGAAAAATCGTTTTAATTTTACTCGTAAAAAATGAAATTTTAGATGGTATTTAGTAATAACTAAATTAAATTAAATTTTTAAAAAACCCCGACTGTTTGGACCGATTTTCATCAAACATAGCTATGAACACTCCCGACTAGTTCAAACAAAAAAAAACAAATCAAAATCGGTTCATCTGTTCGGGAGCTACGAAGACACAGACATACACACAGACACGTCAAACTTATAACATCCCGTCGTTTTTGCGTCGGGGGTTAAAAATAGCATCTAGAATTTCACTCCGTCTTAGCAATAAGTTCAACTAATGGTTCCATACATGACTTTTTAATGAAAATTATTCCAATTTAATCATTCTTTATTTTAATGAAGGTTATGTAACGAGGTATATCCTCGAGGATAAATAAAAAGTATATCATTACCTTAAAACCATAATGTTTATTTTGAATGTTTGTCATTTATCATATATACATATCACTAACAAACAATTATAATCGGGGTATATATATATATATATACATGCAAGTAACTTGAATTAACATTCTCGCTTAACGATCTTAACCCAAATAGTGATCATAGACAACAACCTCGACACACAAATTATTATTATTTGACCGTAATATCGAGACGGTTAGGGTTATCATTGTCGTTTACCTATTTACCTTTTAAGTAACTTTATGTATTGATTATGAAATTAACATAATGGTTTAACATCAAGGACCGATGCTCGTAATATTTTTTCCAAATATAAAATCGATATTAAGTATATCGATTTTATATATTTTAATAAATGTAGAGAAAGCTCTACATTTTAATTTATACTACTGAAAATGGCTGAAAACATGCTACGCAAGTAATCACAGGTAGAGCACCTTTCGTGTGTGAGGTGTTTCCGTGTGAAACAAATATTTTAAAATATTGAGCATCGAATCGACTTTTAGGTGTGTTAAGATAGCAGTGAAAGGTTAGCAGAATCGTTCGAAACATATACGGTATTTTGTGGCTAATTTGTTGCTAATTAATTGCTAAAACCCCGATTTTGTTGCTTTGTCCGATTTCGAAAAAAAAGAGTTACTGCTATCTTAACGTTAAGATAGCAGTAAACTCACCGGGACCGGCATGGATTAAATGCAATTATACATCAGTATTTGTTGCTAATTTGTTGCTGACAAATAGTGTAAAAAAAATTGAAAAATCCCTAGAATTGGCTAGACCTGGAGACCTGTAGCCGTATCCATGCTATCTTAACATGCAGTTTTTTTAACAAGACGATGGCATGGATTTTGTTGCTGGACGCAAATAACATCAGGACACCCCAGAGAGCCAGCAACAAATAAGAAACTAAAATTCTGCTACACCTGGAGACCTGCAGCCATGTCCACGCTATCTTAACATGCACTTTTTTTAACAAGACGGTGGCATGGATTTTGTTGCTCATCGTAAATAACACCAAGACACCCCAGAGAGCCAGCAACAAAATAGAAACTAAAAATCTGCTACACCTGGAAACCTGTAGCCGACTACAAGTGTTCATGCAAACTTAACGTGCACTTTTTTTAACAAGACGGTGGCATGGATTTTGTTGCTCATCGTAAATAACACCAGGATACCCCAGAGAGCCAGCCAAAAAATAGAAGCTAAAAATCTGCTACACCTGGAGACCTGTAGCCGTGTTCATGATATCTTAACATGCCCTTTTTTTAACAAGACGGTGGCATGGATTTTGTTGCTCATCGTAAATAACACCAGGACACCCCAGAGAGCCAGCAACAAAATAGAAACTAAAATTCTGCTACACCTGGAGACCTGTAGCCATGTCCATGCTACCTTAACATGCACTTTTCTTAACAAGGCGGTGGCATGGATTTTGTTGCTCATCGTAAATAACACCAGGACACCCCAGAGAGCCAGCAACAAAATAGAAACTAAAAATCTGCTACACCTGGAAACCTGTAGCCGACTACAAGTGTTCATGCTAACTTAACGTGCACTTTTTTAACAAAACGGTGGCATGGATTTTGTTGCTCATCGTAAATAACACCAGGATACCCCAGAGAGCCAGCAAAAAAATAGAAGCTAAAAATCTGCTACACCTGGAGACCTGTAGCCGTATCCATGCTAACTTAACATACACTTTTTTTAACAAGACGGCGGCATGGATTTTGTTGCTCATCGTAAATAACACCAAGACACCCCAGAGAGCCAGCAACAAAATAGAAACTAAAAATCTGCTACACCTGGAGACCTGTAGCCGTATCCATGCTAACTTAACATACACTTTTTTTAACAAGACGGCGGCATGGATTTTGTTGCTCATCGTAAATAACACCAAGACACCCCAGAGAGCCAGCAACAAAATAGGAACTAAAAATCTGCTACACCTGGAGACCTGTAGCCGTGTTCATGCTATCTTAACATGTACATTTTTTATGAAAACGATGACATAGATTTTGTTGCTGGACGCAAATAACATCAGAACACCCCAGAGATTCAGCAACAAAATGGAAACTAAAAATCTGCTACACCTGGAGACCTGTAGCTTACTACAAGTGTCCCTGCTACATTAACATGCACTTTTTTTAAAAAGACAGTGGCATGGATTTTGTTGCTATTCACAAATAACATCAGGACACCCCGGAGAGCCAGCAACAAAATAGAAACTAAAAATCTGCTACACCTGGAGACCTGTAGCCGTGTTCATGCTATCTTAACATGTACTTTTTTTATGAAAACGATGAAATAGATTTTGTTGCTGGACGCAAATAACATCAGAACACCCCAGAGATTCAGCAACAAAATGGAAACTAAAAATCTGCTACACCTGGAGACCTGTAGCTTACTACAAGTGTCCCTGCTACATTAACATGCACTTTTTTTAAAAAGACAGTGGCATGGATTTTGTTGCTATTCACAAATAACATCAGGACACCCCGGAGAGCCAGCAACAAAATAGAAACTAAAAATCTGCTACACCTGGAGACCTGTAGCTTACTACAAGTGTCCCTGCTACATTAACGTGCACTTTTTTTAAAAAGACAGTGGCATCGATTTTGTTGCTATTCACAAATAACATCAGGACACCCCAGAGAGCCAGGAACAAAATAGAAACTAAAAAATTGCGCGTAAAAAGTAAATTAAATTACAAAATACAGATGGCGTTACAATTTCCTGATATTCTAACAAATTTGTAATCAGTAATTATGAAATTAAATAACTAAATCAAAATAAATAATAGTTATTAATTAGTTAGTGTTATGTCATCGCCATTTTTAAAAACTGCATGTTAAGGTAGCAGGGACACTTGTAGTAAGCTACAGGTCTCCAGGTGTAGCAGATTTTTAGTTTCTATTTTGTTGCTGAATCTCTGGGGTGTTCTGATGTTATTTGCGTCCAGCAACAAAATCTATGTCATCGTTTTCATAAAAAATGTACATGTTAAGATAGCATGAACACGGCTACAGGTCTCCAGGTGTAGCAGATTTTTAGTTTCTATTTTGTTGCTGGCTCTCCGGGGTGTCCTGATGTTATTTGTGAATAGCAACAAAATCCATGCCACTGTCTTTTTAAAAAAAGTGCATGTTAATGTAGCAGGGACACTTGTAGTAAGCTACAGGTCTCCAGGTGTAGCAGATTTTTAGTTTCCATTTTGTTGCTGAATCTCTGGGGTGTTCTGATGTTATTTGCGTCCAGCAACAAAATCTATGTCATCGTTTTCATAAAAAATGTACATGTTAAGATAGCATGAACACGGCTACAGGTCTCCAGGTGTAGCAGATTTTTAGTTTCTATTTTGTTGCTGGCTCTCTGGGGTGTCTTGGTGTTATTTACGATGAGCAACAAAATCCATGCCGCCGTCTTGTTAAAAAAAGTGTATGTTAAGTTAGCATGGATACGGCTACAGGTCTCCAGGTGTAGCAGATTTTTAGTTTCTATTTTGTTGCTGGCTCTCTGGGGTGTCTTGGTGTTATTTACGATGAGCAACAAAATCCATGCCGCCGTCTTGTTAAAAAAAGGGCATGTTAAGATATCATGAACACGGCTACAGGTCTCCAGGTGTAGCAGATTTTTAGCTTCTATTTTTTGGCTGGCTCTCTGGGGTATCCTGGTGTTATTTACGATGAGCAACAAAATCCATGCCACCGTCTTGTTAAAAAAAGTGCACGTTAAGTTTGCATGAACACTTGTAGTCGGCTACAGGTTTCCAGGTGTAGCAGATTTTTAGTTTCTATTTTATTGCTGGCTCTCTGGGGTGTCCTGGTGTTATTTACGATGAGCAACAAAATCCATGCCACCGTCTTGTTAAAAAAAGTGCATGTTAAGATAGCGTGGACATGGCTGCAGGTCTCCAGGTGTAGCAGAATTTTAGTTTCTTATTTGTTGCTGGCTCTCTGGGGTGTCCTGATGTTATTTGCGTCCAGCAACAAAATCCATGCCATCGTCTTGTTAAAAAAACTGCATGTTAAGATAGCATGGATACGGCTACAGGTCTCCAGGTCTAGCCAATTCTAGGGATTTTTCAATTTTTTTTACACTATTTGTCAGCAACAAATTAGCAACAAATACTGATGTATAATTGCATGTAATCCATGCCGGTCCCGGTGAGTTTACTGCTAGCTTAACGTTAAGATAGCAGTAACTCTTTTTTTTCGAAATCGGACAAAGCAACAAAATCGGGGTTTTAGCAACTAATTAGCAACAAATTAGCCACAAAATACCGTATATGTTTCGAACGATTCTGCTAACCTTTCACTGCTATCTTAACACACCTTCGACTTTTGCAGAGCAAAAACATAAGCAAATTTTTATATTTATTTCAGTTCCTTATATTTGTTCCTTCAGATATAAAGATATTAAATACATAATTATATTGTTTGTATCAGTCTTTCCATGTATAGAGCAT